GACTCTTTTGCATTTCAAAGATTAGACATATAATTTAATAAGATGTTTTGTAGTATGTATAAGTAAACCGTCGTCAGAAAAAAGTATTACTGTTGTAAATAGCAGTCCTCATAAATTAAGCGGACATGGCAAAGCAAAAGGACTCTGTAAATTACAGCTGAGGCAAAAGAAAAAAAGTGTTGGAGCATAGTTGAAATTTAATCAGCTTCCGAAAGATAATTAATTATATCGCATTAAACATTTCTATGAGAAACAATTTACACATTGGACGGCCATTTTTTTTTGTTTTGAAGATTGGCATTCCGTGCAAGATGAAAAATTTAGTCATAACTGTCTATATAATTAAACATGTGTTTCGACATATGAAGTAACCATTCAGTTAATTAAAATCTTTATAAGTTTAAGTATAATATATTGTGAAAAAAAATCTAATTTCTCCTTACATTCATACGTCTTCAAATTCTACACACAGTTTACATGCTCCGGTCCATAAAGACCGAGATAAAATAAAATAATAAATACAAAAATAAATATGTAAATAAATATCATAGCAAGGTGAATTAATATCAATCTTCTTCTTCTTCGTTCTTATTTTTTTGTGTTGGAGGGTATAGAGCCTTATCTGCCAGGGGATTTGAACTCGAGACTTTTTTCGAATTTATCAACCATGAGCTTTTGCCGACTCGACCATGCCTCCATCACAATTAAGGATACGTTTCAACTGGTTATGCGCCATTGAGGCCATTGACTCCGATTTCAGCCTGCTTTTCTTTTTTCGAACCAAGAACAAACTACAAGACAGCAGTTGTTTGATTTTGGAGTTGTCTCTCCTAGAAGAGTGGCTGTTCCCAGCTAACGAGCCTCATCTGCCCGAGGGTTCGAACTCGAGACTTTTCGGTTTAGCATCCATGAGCTTTACCGACTCGACCACGCCGATCCCTGGTAGAGGCCACTGTTTATATTCATTTTAAACCAAAAACAATACAAATTTAACCGGTATAGATTTATTACCTCAAAAACACCAATAAATAGTAACTATAATGAAGACGAAACCGCCCAGATATGAAATGTAAGAAATTTTTTTTTTTTTGTAAGATCAGCAAAATAACCAGGGTGTAATGGGTTTGTGCATGGGTTAGCGTCATTTTAATGACACTATTAAAATAATCCTCAGAATAGAGAACAAAATACAAATCGTATGAAAATATAGATTTTAAAAATAAAATTACACATGGGCGAAGGAAATTGATGACAGCTTGCCTTGCCTATATAAGCTGTTGTATGTTTCAATTGCTATTACCACTGAGATTTATATGCATTTATGGGGTAGGCCAAGAAGTATTTGGATGGTCATGGTAACGATAATGTTAATAACTACTTTTATACGTCTTGATAGTTCATGTGTTATACTAATCTTGTTGCCTACATTTTTACTTTCTCGTATATACGAAGTATAGAGAAAGTATTGTAATCGTGCAAAAAAAAAAAATCGAGATTTTTACAAATCTCGACGTTTTACACCTCACTGATACGGAAAAACATAATTTTGCAATCTTGTCCGTATGTCTGTGTGTCTGTCTGTCTGTCTGTCTGTGTGTCTATCTGTGGGTAAGCACGATAACTTGAGTACCGTTACAGCTAGGTTGATGAAGTTTCATATATAAGTATTTTATCAAAATCGTAGATCCATATCAACTTTTGAACGATTTCCGATAACCGGAAGTGGTACTTTTTCTACTTTGAATTTTTCAAAAGCCGATAACTTGAGTACTATTTCTGATACATAAATGAAATTTCACATGTAAGTAAAAGATCTAATTCTCTACCTTCTTTAAATTTTGAGTAATTTCCGTTGACCGGAAGTAGTAATTTACGCTACTTCCGATTTCTCAAAAAACTAATGTAAATTTTTAAAGTACTAATAATATTGCGCACTATTATGCACTTTTTTTTATTTGGCGTTCACTTGGTGTGCAATTATTTTGTCTACGAGATTTTATTCTATTTTTAAAACTTTAAGTATTTAAAATGGATTAAAAATCATGTCTATAGCCCGAGTTCCCATCCCCTGTTATTTTGTATAAGAATATTCGAGAAAGTTTAGGGGAGATCACTCCCGGTTTATTGATGTTCTTTTTCGAAAACATAGTTTAAACGTTGCTGAGTGTTATAGATCAATCTGAATAGGCGTACGCAGCGCTTTTATTACAGTTTAAGTATTAAACCAATATAACTAGATCTATATATATATATATATATATATATATCATATATATATCATATATATATCATATATATATATATATATATATATATATATATATATATATATATATATATATATATATATATATATCATAACATTATTTCTTTTTTTTGGGGGGGGGGGGGGGTGGCACCACGAAGTGCCGCACCGGGTGACACCCGACCTGGCTACGCCAATGTTCCTTAGTGGTTACCCTAAACCAAGTAGTTCTGATATATATATATATATATATATATATATATATATATATATATATATATATATATATATATATAATGGTGTAGGCTTGTTGGTGGTCCAGGGCCGTTTTAATAATGGTGTAGGATGGCTGTGTGGTGTGTGCGTATGTGTCGGCCTACATAGGCCTATAGTTTAAATATATGCCACATATAGTACATGTATTTATCGGCCTACATAGGCCTATAATTTAAATATATGCCACATACAGCACACGTATGTGTAAAAGCTTTAATCACTGCAGACTTAATAATAACGATGATTATCTTTAGTCTGTTAATAATACAGTTGGATGTAGCATTGCTTTCTCTATAGTTAGCATGTTTACGTCATGGTGTCACCCTTACCCTCTTGTAATAATTCTCTATTTGTACTTAAAAGACTATTTAACTTGAATTAATCATTAATGGAACTGGCAAAAAGACATTTTTCTTCGGTACATTTTGCAGTTTATTTGCCTTGGTGTTACCCCCATAAATGGTGTTACCCGGTGCGGTCCGCACCCCCCGCCCCTTCTTCGCTACGCCTCTGCGACAACAATATTCAGGACGTGTTTATTTTGAAGCGAACCTCTCGGACGATGGGTGGCGGCTATGCCATCCATATAAAACAATCGCGCTGACCATAATAATAATTATTATGCTTCACGGTTGCATTATAACAAATGGAAACAATACAAAATAAAAATATACCATAACATTAAAGAAATAAAATAAAAACACACACACACACAAAACAGTGAAAAGATTTGCTCTAGGTTAAAAAGAATAAATACTTTGTAATACAAACACATTTTAATTTTGAAATTTTTTTTTGTAACAATACGGCGTCAAACTATTATTAAAAAAAAAGAAAAAAAAAAACTACTACACATTTTTAATGCTAAAGTATCAAAGTTGGTTATCCTTCTTTGTTGAGAGTGACGCATTGGAACCTTCTGGAGAACTTAAGGAATTATCCGATCCCTCTACAGACGATCCATTTGGAGATTTCGAGTTCCCTGACGACACAGTTAAGCTAGAACCTGAGCTTGAGCTACCTCTTTTCTGAAACAAATTAGTCAAAAAAAATTTTCTGAAAAAAATAGTCAAAAACGGAGTTTAAGACTCAATTTTCTGAAACAAATTAGTCAAAAACTGAGTTTAAGACTAACTTTTCTGAAACAAATGAGAACAAATTGATTTTATGACTAGCATTTATGAAACAAAATAGGCGAAAGCTGAGTTTATGACTAGCATTTATGAAACAAAGAGTCAAAAACTGAGCATATGACTAACTTTTCTTAGGCACATAATAAAATACTGAGCTTATTAAACAAATGACGTGAAATTGATTGAGCTTAAGGCTTGTTTTTCTGAATTAAAGGAAGTGAAACTAATGGAGAACTCCCAGTTGATGCGATATTTAATATCTGACCCCTACACTTGCTCGTCTACGACAAAGTCCCGAAAAACATTCGCCAAAATGCAATTTGCGTGAAGGCTGTTTATCACAATGGACACTGACCCAAATGTGACTTACGTCCAAATGGACACTAGCCCGAATGTGACTTACGCCCAAATGGACACTTGTCCGAAAATGAATTACGCCCAAATGGACACTGGCACGAATGTGACTTACGCCCAAATGGACACTGGCCCGAATGTGACTTACGCCCAAATGGACACTGGCCCAAATGTGACTTACGCCCAAATGGACACTGGCCCGAATGTGACTAACGCAAAAATGGACACTGCCCGAATGTGACTTACGCCCAAATGGACACTGGCCCGAATGTGACTTACGCCCAAATGGACACTGGCCCGAATGTGACTTACGCCCAAATGGACACTGGCCCGAATGTGACTTACGCCCAAATGGACACTGGCCCAAATGTGACTTACGCCCAAATGGACACTGGCCCGAATGTGACTTACGCCCAAATGGACACTGGCCCGAATGTGACTTACGCCCAAATGGACACTGGCCCGAATGTGACTTACGCCCTAATGGACACTGGCACGAATGTAACTTACGCCCAAATGGACACTGGCCTGAATGTGACTTACGCCCAAATGGACACTGGCCTGAATGTGACTTACGTCCAAATGGACACTGGCACGAATGTAACTTACGCCCAAATAGACACTGGCTCGAATGTGACTTACGCCCAAATGGACACTGGCCCGAATGTGACTTACGCCCAAATGGACACTGGCCCGAATGTGACTAACGCAAAAATTGACACTGCCCGAATGTGACTTACGCCCAAATGGACACTGGCCCGAATGTGACTTACGTCCAAATGGACATGGCCCGAATGTGACTTACGCCCAAATGGACACTGGCCCGAATGTGACTTACGCCCAAATGGACACTGGCCCGAATGTGACTTACGCCCAAATAGACACTGGCTCGAATGTGACTTACGCGCAAATGGTCACTGGCCCGAATGTGACTAACGCAAAAATGGACACTGGCCCGAGGACCGTTTGAACATAACAAAAGTTTTTCTTGATCATATGTACTGTGTAAGCACATGTTCATTGTTAGTACACTATTTGTGTTATTATACCGTCTACCTCAGCAAACCTCAGCAAGCATACCTTCTTAGTTAGCATACTTTCTTCCTTAGTATACCTCTCTCTCAGTAAACCTTTCATTTTAGCAAACATGCTGTGTTAAAAAACCTACTATATTTAAATAATTTGTAAGCATGCCATTTCTCGTATCATTTCTCTTCGTTTAGCATACCTTAATCTTTTTGGGTGGCTTTTTATTTTTTTTGCACATCTGAACTGCTACGACGACAAGGGCACTCAGGGCGATAATTGAAAACAACATGGTAATAGCTATCTTCCACCACATTCCGCTTCTTCCAGTGTTTGTATCGGAAATGCTTTTTTCAAGATTGCTTAAATTACCTGTTGCTAAATACACACAAAAACATATAAACATTTATAAAAATATAGATATATAAATATATATATATATATATATATATATATATATATATATATATATATATATATATATATATATATATATATATATATATATATATATATATATATACAAACACCAGTTGATAGACCACCTGTGATCAAAGACTCTCTGCTGAGAAAACACATGTGGTCAAAACCCCTATGGTCAAACCCCCTATGATCAAACCCCCTATGGTCAAAGCACCTGTGGTCAAAGGTCCGCGCACCATATATATATATATATATATATATATATATATATATATATATATATATATATATATATATATATATATATATATATATATTGGTAGGGTAACTCCTTCACGCATTCAAATTCTATACGAATCAGGCCTTACCACTGTGCATCAGCCCACATAAGTCGTTGGTCAAAAATTTTAAAAGCAGTAGGGTAGATGGTGATTGAGTTTGATACAAAGGTAGAAAGTTTTTATTTTAATTTGAATGCATGTTGAGTGAGGTAGGCAAAATGGAGGATTATGAAATATGAGATCCCTGAGGAGGATTATGAAATGTAAGATGCTTGCGCTTCAAAATACCAGTGGGTGTATTATTTATAATAACCTCTTTGGATGTTCCACAGAGTGTTTCTTCAAGACTTTTATTCCGGGGGAAGGAGCACTTTAAATTTTCGGGGGGGGGGGGGGGGACTAACATTTTCAGTGGGGGGGGGGGGGGGGGTGGACACTGTTAAAAGTATGTATTTTCTATATAAATCCCATTTCGTTCTGGGGAGGGGGGCGGTAGACTCTATCGGGGGGGGGGGGGTCTCCACCTCCCCCAAAGAGATGCCTGGAAGAAGCACTTGTTCCACATATGCTCAGAAGATATTGGGGCAAGTCTGTCGCAACACAGAATCTCTGCGACAAATCAATGAATTCAATTTTGGAAATTTTCTATCCGCTAATTTACTTTTGTCATATTTGAAAGAAAGCTAGGTCTATATGAAATAGTTGTGTAAAACAAAGGTGGCTGGGCATATTGCTGACAACACTACGCCTTTGTTTGTTCAAATATATGAAAAAGACAACCTCTACTTCATCCGCCCTAATGTCTTAAGCATGAACGAGAAAAAAGGATGAATACAAGTATTGCTTCCAACTTTCTAAAGTTTTATAGAAAAGTACTAGTCTTTTTCAATTTCCAGGATCAATAATTTAAAAAAAAAATGTTTCTGACTGCTTTTGTTTATTCAAGAAAAATAGGAAAAGTAATATCTTCTGGATTTTTTGTTGATACAAGCATACATAGTTGAGTCTACTTACCAGTATAGCAGCTTCCATCGATGAAGCATTCGTCAATACAAGTGCACGGGAGATCGCAGTACAATCCAGTTTTGTCTGCTTCACAATCTAAAGTCAAGAGTACAGTCAGAGAATGGTTGATCAACTGGGACATGGCCAGAGGCGTAGCGTCCCTTCCCGGCTCCCGGGGACAAACTTTCGATTTGCTCAACACCCCTCAAGATTATCATTTGCACCCTGCCCTCAAATTTTCGATTTGCACCCCCCTCCTCAAGCTTTCAATTTATTTTTCCAACCCATTTTGGCACTCCCTAAGGTTGGCGCCCGGGGACATATGCCCCCCCCCCCCCCCGCATCCACCTTTACCCTCGCTACGCCTCTGGACATGGTAGGTAGAAGTAAATGAAATTTAAACACAGTGTAATGAGTTTATTTATTTTTTTGCACGAGCAGAAACAGACGAGGGACAGGTTTAATAACGAAAGTAGACTCAGTGAAATCGGAAAGATAATGTTATAATAAACTTTTGTCGCGCTATTATAAGCACGTTATTCGTGTTCTGTTGATGCGCGATTCTTTTTAGTTATTTAAACAAAAATAAAAATCCAAAACAAACATGTATATAATTTTGTACGATTAAGAAGAAACAATATGATTTTCTTAAAATACATAACGATGAACTACCATGTACTTGATGATCCAGAAACGTATATGTCGCTAAATTATGTATTTGATATATTTATACATTTATAAAAATACTACTACCTTTTAATAATCAGCCCACACTTTTTTAGTAGTTGAATTGATGGTTTATTATTAACTGTTTAAAGACATTTATTTAACCAATTCTTTATATATTTAGGATCTAAAACTTTGACGTTAAAACGTTTTTTAATTGTTGTTTTTCTCAATAAAAAAAATTCAATCGAGAATAATTGCCTAACAAATGAACTCAAATAATGTGTTTATACTACATTGAAAAATTAGTAACTTATAATAGAAACATTGATTGATTTCATTAAAAGTTAATTAAACATCTAATTGAGCCACATTGTGTCTTGTATTGCCTGTTGGTTAAGTTTTGACCAACGAGAAAAATAATTGAAAAATACAATTGGTCCGGTTTTTCAAAATTTTTGCTCGCTAGTTTTCAGTCCATGAAAGGGCTTTTATAAGTTTTTATTTTTTATTAAAGGTTTTTACTACTATAGTTTTTACAAACTATAGTGACAGATGCTTTTCTTTATATTTATTTAAATAGTGGTTAAATATTGTTTATTTAAAGAAGATCATTTACTTTCTTCTTTTTAGAGTATAATTAAATTAAAGCATATCATAGAAATCTTTTTGTAAATTGTAAAAAAATTCGCTCGCCTGTTTCAACATACAGCACAGAAGATAGGAGGAAAAAATAACTTGAATAAAAGCTTGTATGACAAGGGTTTTGAGAAATCGGAGATAAAAGTAAAAATACATCTTCTTGTTACTGGAAATTGCTCAAATGTGGACATGAATCTAAACACTAATACTTATATGACATTTATTTCAACTTTCTGAGAATCTACATAAAAGCTTGTTATTAAAACGTTGTTTACGCATTTTACTTTTTCAGTACTTTAAAATGTTTGATATAAGTTGCATGACTAAAAACTATTGCGCACCAAAATAAACATGAAAATTGCGCGTATAATTGTGCTTGTAAATAGTAGCCCCGTACTTTATTGAGGGAATATTAATTAATTCATAAAAACTAATTAGGTATCTTTAAAAGTCAAATTTAATGTCAGATTGTATTGTCATTGGGCCTTGGCCCACGTGCCAAGTTTGAAGCAAATCAGTCTGTTAAAAGTGCTCGAAATTTTGCTCAGCAGTTTCGATCAATGACGGATGGCAGATAGACAGAGAAAGCAAGTATAGTAAAAGCTTATAAATATATATTCATAGCCCTCGATGACAAAAGTATGTGGAAAAATTGAACGAAATCGCTGGATTAGAAGTTGGTAAAAATTGAGCTACAAGATTTGCCACAAACTCTAATACACACCTTGAGAACTGAGTAAAAGCTTGCAAGTACTTACCACCAATAGCCATAAAGTCACACAAAGTAAGATCTCCGTTTTCGGCAAAAAGCTTTATTTTCGATACTAAATGTGTCCGTGTATATTCGATTTCATAGCTGCTTCGGCCGAATGTAAGTGATTTGGAGTGCAGGAGTTGGTCTGATTTGTTATAGATCTCTACGACAATGGGGTTGTTTTCGTCCACTGTGGCAGAGTAAGAATACAATGTTAAACAGCACTAGGCTGCTTTATATGCGCTGTGTCAGTGGCGTAGGCAGGGGGGGGGGTTAGGGGGGGGGGGGTCATAACCCCCCCCCCCCCGCCATAGACCCCTCGGTATATATATAAAAAGTATGAGGGGGGTGCAAATCGAAAGTTTGAGGGGGGTGCAAATCGAAAGTTTGAGGGGGAGGGGGGGGGTTTGCAAATCGAAAGTTTGAGAGGGGGGTGCAAATCGAAAATTTGTCGCCGGGGAAAAATTGGAACCCCCCCCCTTGAGACGATCCTGGCTACGCCACTGCGCTGTGTAATAACCAGAGTTTATTTCAGGCACCCGTTCCATAAAGGATGTCCTATCCAACTATTCAGCCGAAACAAAAAAAAAATTGATATAGAAAATATGTAAGTTAACCAGCGTCCGCCCTCTCCTATTCCCCATCCGAAAATTTTAAGTGCCCACTGTTTCCGGGGGAAACGTTTTAATAAATCCGGGTTATAGTTTAGCAAAAACTCAAATGGTGCTCATGTGGTTTGATTCAAACTCAAATGCATAAAAGACACACAAAAAACACGGACACGCATGTATATGTATATAATATATAAATGTAAATATATATATATATATATATATATATAATATATTTTTACATATATATATATGTGTATATATATATATATATATATATATATATATATATATATATATATATATATATATATATATATATATACGTCTGTGTTTGTAAGCGTTTCTCCCCCTCTCTCTCTCTCTCTGTCGGTATATATATATATATATATATATATATATATATATATATATATATATATATATATATATATATATATATATATATATATATATAAAGAGAGAGAGAGAGAGAGAGAGAGAGAGAGGGGGGAGAAACGCTTACAAACACAGACGTTTATATATATATATATATATATATATATATATATATATATATATATATATATATATATATATATATATATATGTTACGGTCAAAGTCGCGCATTGGCAAATATCGCCTCCCATTGACCGGTCAAAGTCCGAAACTTAATTTGATTCAGGCCTTTGGCAGGCCAATGCGAGGACTGGCCAGGATGGACCGGCCAAAGTCTGAAATGGCTCTTGATTTTCGGTCCATTATGGCCAGTCCGCGGATTGGCCGACCAAAGACCGAAATCAAGAGCCATTTCAGACTTTGGCAGTTCCGCCATGGCCAGTCCGCGGATTGACCGGCCAAAGGCCGAAATGAAGTTAAGTTTCGGACTTTGGCCGGTCAATGGGAGGCGATATTGGCGAATGCGCGCATTGGCTGGCCAATGCGCACTTTGGCCGACTTTGAGGCTTTGACCGGAACATATATATATATATATATATATATATATATATATATATATATATATATATATATATATATATATATATATATATATATATATATATATATATATATTTATATATATATATATATATATATACTAGCCGTCCCGGCCAGGCCCTGCTCTGGCTTCTGTGAAAAACCTTTCTGTTAAAGACCATTACCTGTGTGTTTAGTAATCATCATAAACCCAGCATTGCCCACCCAAACCACAACCAACCAAAACAACAAAACACAAACATAACGCTAACACAATTACAAATACAAACGAAAACAAAAACCTAACAACAAACCCAACCACAACCACAAACACCAATACAAACACAAAGAAAAAACAAACAAAAAAGCAAACGAAAACAAAAACCTAACAACAAACCCAACCACAAACACCAATACCACCAAAAAAAAAACAACGAAAAAAAAAAAAAAAAAAAAAACCAAATCCAAACGCAAAACCAACCAAAAACACAAATACAAACCCAAACAAAAAAACACAAACAAAAACGAAAAAAGAAAGAACAAAAACGAACCGAATCAAAACGCAACCACTAACGCAAACCCACCTAAACACAAAAAAACACTAACGCGAACATAAACGCCCGGGGCGGAATCACCTGTTTTAGCTTAATGAACGACTATAGTACCCCAACTTATTCATAGTCTTTTGCACTCACTTAAACGAACGCGCCTGTTTCAATTTGATGAACAATTTTAATACTCCAAGCTTATCCGTAAAATACCTACAACATTTGCACTTGATCAATCCCCGCTAATTATGTAATTATTTTTTTTTCCCAACACCAAAACAAAGTAATTAAAAAGTAAATACTTTTCCACAAAATGCAATGATTTTATAAAGGGAAGTAATTGTGTTTTCCTAATTTATCAAAGGGAAGTAAGTGCTTTAGGACTAAATAAAGACATAATTAGAATTTTTGTAAAAGATGATATTTTTTTTAAAACTTGTGTTAAATGAACATGCCGACAATTATTACTATAATTTGAAAAATGAAAATGATTTCCCAACACTTCAATAGTAATGTTTTAGCTCATAAATTTAGACAAATGCGCACGATAATTTTCTAACACTTAAATTCATACAATTCCAACGACAAACATATGCATTACATACAGAACTGAGCTTTATATATTATATATATATATATATGTATATATATATATATATATATATATATATATATATATATATATATATATATATAAATGTAGAGAGAGAGAGAGAGAGTTAGAGAGAGAAAGAGAGACACAAATTTAGTCTTAGGCAGCCTATAGAGTATGACAGAGCGTTTTGGAAAAAAAAAGTTTGTGTTGTAATGTTTGTAATGAATTATAACACTAAACTTGATATAAACAGTAAAACAATACTCCACCTGTCATTTGCCCCAAAGCCATCCAGATATAATTCACGCGTTTTGGAACTTTGAATTTTAGAATCCATGACAACGATTTTCCAGGGTAAAATTCGTGGAGGCATGCCGAGTGCTTTGTTTTGTTTTGTATTATTGGCAACATTATCATGGATTTTTTGTTGGTATTTTGAACTGAATTGATGTAGAGTTCAGTTGATTCTCCTACGGCCACGTCTATGCCTAATTAAAGGAAATAAAATGCTGCGAATATATCTAACATTAATTATCTAGTTATCTTGTTTCTCTAAGTTTAAAAAAAAAATAGTTACTCTTTCGAACTATTCGATAATATAAAAATATAAGGACTGAATAGATGTATTTATTAACTGTGCATTTCTAAATGTAAACGAAAAGCTTTTTCTATTTACACAATCGAGTTGAATATGTGTCTTATGTGGGTGTACATTGGCAATTAAATTCCTTAAAATTATAGGCGGTATGTATATTTCGGTAATTTTCTTTTCATCTTATGGGCTGTGTGGATTTTTATAATTTTAAAGGATTTTGTACATTGGCGTAATTAACAACCAAACACGCCCCAGCCTTAAACCTTGCACGTGTCCAAAACTGTAAGCTTGATCTGAAATTAAACTTGACACTATCGTTAGTATCCATTTGGTTAGCCTGAAGCTTCACACACGACTCCGCTATACGGGTAGCGTCCAGAATTTGTTTAACCTTTAATGTATTTATAGTATACATTATATTCAGTGTTTTTTCCCTCTTTTTTTTGTTTTGTTTAAAATTGTAAAATACTTTTAAAATAGTTTTAAGAATGGTCATTTAAAGTTGTTTCCCATGTATATAATGATTTATTATATGGGCAGTTACTCAAACGATAAGTAAACAAAAAAAAAACCCCAGCGAAATAGTGTTACCCTCTCTTTTTAATTTATATGTATGAATAATTTCAGCTATTTTATTTAAATTCATGTTTTACTGTACAGAGGCCTACATTGTTTAAATTTAAACTCACCGTGAAAAAGCACAGGAAATTAGGACTGATGTTAACGATAAAGGAATCTTAATTTCCCGCCCCCCCCCCTCCCCCCCCAAAAAAAAACTTAAGATTTAACACATTTTGAAGCAAAGGTTGAAGATGGTATTTGCGATACGCTAACATTAGTTTTAATTACTTTTATTTTTAAAATATACCATTCTAGAAAAGCAGACGGGCTTTGGGTTAATTTAACATTAGTTTTATTTACGTAAATAACATAAAAAGCAGCTTTTAAGAAAACCATACAGTATTTGTAGTAAGTCAACAATAAATTAAGTCACACAAATTATTCCAATTAAAAAAAAAACACTATAGAAGTTTGACGCTGTATATTATGTAGACAGAGCTTATGCCAATCCCAATTATATTTGCGGTTTTAAAAAAAAAATTGAAAAATGAAAAAAATGAGAACGTTACCACTAGAACATTTGATGCTGTGGACGCAGACTGTCAATGCGTTGAAGTTGACGAAAATTTGATTAGCGAATCTCTTTGAGTTACAGGTGACGCGTATCTCCGTTTCACTTAACTTAACCAACCTAGGCACGGAGCAAGGGCTCAATCGATCGGTTTCGTTGGAGAAAGCGATTTCGAAAGGAAGTTTCTCATCAACTTTGTATTGTGATTGTGGAGGAAAGAAAAAAAGCAAAATGTTTTCGTTAAATAAATTGTATACTAAAAGTTCGAAAGAAAATTGTCATCAATTGTGTACCGTAATTGTCGAAGGGAATAAAAGTTAATCGTTAAATGAATTGCATAAGGCGTGTTTTGAAAGAAACGATTTTACTGAATTCCTAATGTAGAAGATGGGACCTCGTGCTCGGATGCTAGAGCATACGACGGCTAACCCGAAAGTCTCGAGTTTGAATCCAAGTTCAAATCCTTGCAACGTCTCAGAGTGTACTCAGCTCTGATGGGCATCTGACTCACCTTAGGTAAGTAGAGTGCTGACCATACTATGCCGAGTTCACAGAAACAGGTGAACTCTACTTCACTCGCCCCATGGACAGGTTTGAAAGTAAATTTTTACATTTTCATATAGGAGTAGAGGTAAAAATAATAAGTTTTTTTTCTCAACTGTATATTTGAGAAATTGAGGTAAAAAAGTCTTCATTAATTTTATATTAGAGAAAACGTGTTAAAATAGTTTTTGTATTGCAGAAGGAGAGATAAAATTTTTTTTTTTCAATAGATTTCAATGTTTTTCTTAGATTTTATAGGCATATTGGAGTGAGCAAAACAAAATTCTAAGGAACGATTTTCGTTTACTGTACCTTGACTAGGCCAAAGAAATAAGAGGTAAAATGAAGTTCTCCTAAAGTGTATATTTGAGATAACAAAACAAGACAGACGAGGCTCGACAGCGGGGAACACTTATGTTTTAGATAAGAAAAAGTTCTAACTTTAAATAAAGTGACAAATAAACGCCATGGAGGCTCGCCCAGAAGGTACAATAGACTGAACGTGGAGTCAACGTCCAATGTATGGTAATACACGGTAATTCGTCCAGTGGCGTAGCCAGGATTGTCTCAAGGGGGGGTCCAATTTTTACCCGGGGACAAACTTTCGATTTGCACCCCCCCCCCCCACTCAAACTTTTGATTTGCACCCCCTCATACTTTATATATATATACCGAGGGGTCTATGGGGGGGGGGTAGTGGTGGTTATGACCCCCCCCCCTAACCCACCCTGCCTACGCCACTGAATTCGTCCAACTTTATTATAAAAAAAAGAAGATATATTCAAGGAGAAAGTTTTTTTTCCCGTTAACTATCTATTACCTGCACTGCTGAGTTTGATGTAGAGAAAGTCGAAGTAAATCATAGTCCTAAACTCGATTAATATAGAAGAGACTTCCGAGCATTTCGTTGCTGGAGCATCTCTCAAGTCTGGTATGACGTCCTTCAACACAGAGGTTGACATAATATCGACTCCAGCAGGTAGGAAATTTAGAAAAAAAATTATATATATATATATATATATATATATATATATATATATATATATATATATATACATACATATATATATATATATATATATATATATATATATATATATATATATATATATATATATATATATATTCTTACTTGAAACGCTGTGTTACTGCGATCTAGAGTATATCTATATCAATATATATATATATATATATATATATATATATATATATATATATATATATATATATTATATAAAGCAATGTATGTGTGTCTGTGTGTCTGTGTGTGTGTGTGTGTGTCTTTTATGCATTACCACACCACTTTTCACATCGCCGTCGAACTTTGGGAAGTTGTTAATAGTATTCCTGGGGAGGTTTCTGCGGGAAAAAAAATTCAAATTCGCAGGGGTGGCGCCCCGGCAGGGCGCGGATTTTTTTTCTCTATATACGGTATATAAAAAATAAGAGTCGATTGCAGGTTCACACTGTTCATCCAATCGCCGTCAAGCTTTGGGGAGTTGATTAGAGCAATTCAGGGAAGGGTTCTGTAAAAAAATACTGTTTGATTTCGCAAGGGCGGCCCCACGGGAGGGTACGCTTTTTCTCTATATAAAATAATAAAATTGAATTGCAGTGACACCGTTCATCCGATAGGCATGAAACTTTGGTGAGTTCATTATAAAACTCAAAGCAAGGGTTCTGTAAAAAATCATTTATAATTTCACAAGGGCGCCGCCACTGGAGGGTTCGATTTTTCTCTATGTACGGTATATAAAAAAAGTCGATTTTGGTTTGATACCGTTCATCCGATAGCCATGAGACTTTGGGGGAGTTGATAAGGACACTCTGGGGAAGTGTTCTGTAAAAAAAAACATTTTTAATTTCGCAAGGGCGGTATATAAAAATAAAAGTCGATTTTGGTTTGACACCGTTCATCCGATAGGCATGAGACTTTGCGGAGATGATTAGAACACTACCTGGAAGGGTTCTGCAAATGTATTAATTTTTCTTATGGGCGGCGCCACTGGAGGGTGAGATTTTTCTCAATATACAGTATATAAAATAAAAGTCGATTTTGGATTGACACCATTCATCCAATCGCCATCAAACTTTGATGAGTTGATTATACCTCTCAAGGTGTAACTTTAGCGAATGAGGCAATCTGTATCATTGTTTCTGGATGCTATGTGTCGCTCTGGGTTAGCCTGTTAGTACATTGGCACTTTGTTATTTTTAAAGAGCCAACAGCCCTACGCTGCGCCTCTGCGGTAGTGTTATTGTGGGGCTCCCGAGAGTGCCTCTCTATGTTTCTGATATATGGGTGGTTACGAAGTGTGTTCTACCTCATTATTATTTGGTGAGTGATTAACGAACATTCAATAATTTCATTTGGTAGTGTAGGTAAACCCGTGTCCCGATAATTATGATCCAAGCGCAGGCATTGTTTACATTTAAATAACTCACATTTAAAAAAGACGGTCACGCGTCTAAGAACATATGATTGGTAACGCATTGGTGAAATCCTTCTAATATATTTCGTCAGACTTTATTCTATCCCCGCGGCAGGGCGCGATTTGTTTTTTCTCTATATACGGTATATAAAAATAAAAGTCAGTTTTGATTTGACACCGTTCATGCGATATGCATGAAAGTTTTGAGGAGTTCATTATAACACTCTAGGGAATGGTTTTGTAAAAAATAATTTTTAATTTCGCAAGGGCGGCGCCACGGGATGGTGCGATTTTTCACTATATACGGTATATAAAAATAATAAAAGTGATATGCAGTGACACCGTTCACACGATCGCCATGACACTTTGGGAAGATGTTGAGAATACTCCTGGGGAGGTTTTTGCGAAAAACCCTGTTTAAATTCATAGTTGTGGCGCCCCCGTAGGGCGCGATTTGTTTTTTCTCAATATACGGTACATAAAAATTTAAGTCGATTGCGGTTTCTCACCATTCATCCGATCGCCATCAAACTTTGGGGTCTTGATTACAACACTACAGGGAAGGGTTCTACAAACTAATCTTTTTTTTAAATTTCGCATGGGCGGCGCCACGGAAGGGTGCGATTTTCTCTATTTACGATGTATAAAAATAATAAAAGTTAATTGCAGTGACACCGTTTTCACGATCGCCATGAAACTTTGGGAAGATGTTATGAACATTTTAGGGAAGGTTTCTGCGGGAAAAAAAATTGCGCAGGGGTGGCGCCCTACCAGGGCGCAATTTCTTTTTTTCTCTATATATGGTATATAAAAATAAAAAACGATTTTGGTTTGACATCGTTCATCCGATAGCCATGAGACTTTGGGGAGTTCATTAGAACACTATAGGGAATGGTTCTGTAAAAAAAATCATTTTTAATTTGGCAAGGGCGGCGCCACGGGAGGGTGCGATTTTCCTCAATATAAGGACTTATAAGGTATATAAAAATAAAACACGATTGCGGTTTGACGCAGTTTATCCGGGTGTCATACAACTTTAGAGAGTTGATGAATACTCCCGATAAGTTTTCTGGGGTGGGGGTGGGTGGGGGGAGGGAGGATTTAATTTTGCATTTTCGGCCCCCCGACAGGATGCGATTAGGCGCCCTGGTCTTTCCCGTGAGCGCTATGGCGACCAAGTTCGGTCTACACAGTGTGATAGGAAGGGGCGTTACAATCGCTCACTAAATTGAATCAGGCATGTCCTCCTGTGCCCTGGTAGAGTGCGATTTTACTGCAAATAAAAATTTCTGTTTCTGCCCCCAAAGGCTCACATGGGCCGCTAAGGGCCATGTAATACGTTTTATTTTAATAATCAGAAAAATTAACCAAGGTTAGATTATTAACTGGGATGTTTGTTTTTGTCCGTAAAAAAAAAATCTAGTTTCGTCAGGTTGCGAATGATGCAAGTAGCATCTATTTTTAGACCAGTAGTAACGCTAACATATTGCATCAGTCACACTGATGTTTAAAACACGTCTAATAATTTTTTTACGTGTTAAATAACAAATCCTGTACATTTGTGTCACTTTAGCGAATGACGCAATCTGCATCATTGTTGACAGGATGCTATTTGGCACGATGGCGCCTGTTAGTTTTAAGGAGCCAGTGTCGTACGCCGCGCCTATGCGGTAGTGTAATGGGGGGGGGGGGGGGTGCTCCTGAGAGCGCCCCTCTACGTCTCTGACACCTGGGCGGTCACCGAAGTATGTTCTGCCATATTAATTCGGTGAGTGATTAATGTACACTCAAGGTGAAACTCGCGGGGGACGGGTACGCTAGTATATATATATATATATATATATATATATATATATATATATATATATATATATATATATATATATATATATATATATATATATATATATATATATATATTCTTACTCAAAACACTGTGTTACTGCGATCTAGAGTGTCGAAATACTTTGTAAAGGTTTCATTTTTGCGTTAAAATTGTTTGTTCGTCAATCATGGGGGTCATCCATAAATGACGTCACGCTTTTTGGAAGATTTTTACCTCCACCCTCTCCCCTCCGTCACACATCGTCACAAAAAGCGAGACCTCCCCATAAAATGACGTCACACCTCAGCCTACACCCCTCCTCTCAAAATTGCAGTTGAATTTTTTTTAAAACATCGAAATTTTTCAAAAATCTTTTCTGAACACGGTCAAAATAGAGCATTTTAATCAATTTCTATTACGATTTATTAAAACAGTTTACTAAAACGCGAAATAACGTCTAAAATTCGTTTTCTAACAATGCTTTTTTATAATGCTAAAAAGTGACGTCGCGCCATCTGATTATTATTATTAATCTTCCTTTATTTCGTCTGTAATTTTAAAAAATTTTGACAAATATTTAATTTTACGCTACTATTAAAAAAAAAATCAAATTGCATATATATTTTTTTAAATATTATTTTTTGCTCGTATAGTGAACGTGTAAAAAAAAAAGATTATTAAAATTACAAGAAAATTAAAAAAAAACAACCTCGAACTGAAATAATATTTTTTTAAAAGTAATTACAGAAAAGACATCGACTTCCGAATAACCGATCGTCCACGCACGCAGCATTATCCATGCAGTTCCCATCCGCAGTGCAATGTTCCTCAGCACAACCACAATAGTGGCTGCAGCGATGGCCGAAGAATCGATCCTCGCATTCTGAAATGTGCATTGATATGTGATAAAAGTATGTTGAATATCTGATTCGAAAATTAAATTGATGATTTTTCAAAACACATAGGGATGATATATTTGCAATTCAAATGTATGAGTATTCGAATAAGGAATAAGTTATTCTAAAATACAAATACATGACTGATATGTTTGCGATTAATAATTTTAAACAAGTAATTAAAAAAAAGTCTAGTGACAATTTGAGCGCAATTTCCTTATGTTATCTAAAAATAGCTCTGTCGTAGCGTAAATCAAGAGCAGGGTTAGTAAAATCATTGGTTAGTTATTAAAACGTTTTTTATTCATTTTTTTTTTCAGTATTTTACATGTTTTATTTACAATAGAGTAACATGACCAAAAACCATTGCGCGCCTAGCTACCGAACGTGATGTCGCAGCCATTGAACGTGATGGCGCAGCTATTGAACGTGATGACACGTGTGCTGTAGTTGGAAAAATGCCTACTAATTCGGTCAAAATTTTAATTAATTCAAATTTTTTTTTGTGACCGAACGAATGGATATTTTTGAAAACATTCTTCGGCAATATTGTTCTAAATTATATCAGGAATCGATTGGTACATGTTTCAAGTCGCTAAGTGGTCTGGTTGCCGAGATATGGGCCAAAAACTGCTTTTTTTTCGAGTTTTTTTTGCTTTTCCGGGAAATCCATGAAAGAAACCCGGAATGTTTATGGCCTATGTTCATCCTCGTAACTTGCTTAACATAATTGCTTTGGAACTAGACCTCGATATTGCTTCGTTGAGGAGGAGATACGACTTAAAGCTGCGGACACACATTCATCCATCCATTCATCCATCCATCCAGAAATGACGGGTTAATAAACGCAATTCTCAAGAATGGAAATTGCGCTAATAAAGTCTAATGTGTATTTTATAAAATTTAGCTGATGCAGTTTTATTCATATTTAAAGCCGATGTGTGTTCTTTGAGGTCGAAACGTTAGTAATCGACAACAAACGCGGTTCTTTTAAAGCGGATTACACTGAATACACAATAATTTAAAAAAAAAAAGAATAGCTACAGATACCATATTTTGTTGCTGACTACAACTGTTATGTCTTCACCTAAAAAACATTCAAATAGGGCGTTCGGTGTAATAAAACATACTTTTTAACTAATTTTTTTTTTACTTGCGTTGAAGCTTTGTGTTTCTTCAGTATTCTCAACAGTGAGGAACCCGGTCGTTTGTTTAGTAGTGCTGGTACTAGATGCTTCTTGTTCTGGCGGTAGCAGTTCTGTTCATTATGTGACAATCGTTACAAGTTTATATATATATATATATATATATATATATATATATATATATATATATATATATATATATATATATATAATAAACATGAAAATGAACACGATACACACGAACACAAACAGAAACGTAAACGCAAAAAATAAATAAATAAATAAATAAATAAATAAATAAGTAAATAAATAAATATATACATATATATATATATATATATATATATATATATATATATATATTTATATATATATATATATATATATATATATATATATATATATATATATATATATATATATATATATATATATATATATATATATATATATATATATATATATATATATATATATATATATATATATATATACATACATACATACATACATATATACATATATATATATATATATATATATATATATATATATATATATATATATATATATATATATATATATATATATATATATATACATACATATATATATATATATATATATATATATATATATATATATATATATATATATATATATATATATATATATATATATATATAACTGAATGCATCTAGATATAGAAGTTTTAAGTACATATCAGCTTGTAAGTAAAAATCAGACCACAGCTTTTAATATGTAAACCGAGCTGTTGTTTCGAATTTATTTATTTTTATTTATTTCCATTTGAAAACCTTTTACATGTATTGAACTAGCCTGCTAATTGTTTTGTAAAACTCAATCTCACTTTTGTCGAAAAGGTCGCGATGATAAATTTTAATCCTGTTTTTTTTTTGGGCATTTTTCTTTTCGACATTTTGTTATTTTAAAAAAAAAAAAAACGTATTTAAACTTACCGGAAAAGTATTTTTTATCTCGACAATGACGTTGCTCTTCTGCGTTCCCTACTATCGGTGTGTCTATTGTATCTCTGTGTGCCTAGATAATAAGTGGGATAAATAAAAGAAAAAAAGAACTTGCGTTATTATCAAGCCTTGTAAAGTTAGTGTTATATGCATCGATTATTGTTTATAATTTGATGAATACATTATATATATATATATATATATATATATATATATATATATATATATATATATATATATATATATATATATATATATATATATATATATATATATATACATATACATATATAAAACATGCAGCTTGCATGTGACAAAATGGCCCCTACAATAAAGCCCGAAATAAACAGCTCCGTCAGAAAATGGATCCTGTCAAAATGTCAAGCTATTAATGGACCTCGTCATATAGGCTCTCTTAACAAACGCTCCCGTCAATACTTTTCTCGCTTAACAGACTATCATTAAAAAAACATCGTTTATTCATAAACATCAAGCGTATAATATACTTAAGTTTCTTTGCTAAGTTTTAAGCAACATATACTTACGGGGTTTAAAAAACAGTATCAACATTTAAAATTATTTACCCTTAGCTGTTAAAAGCTCGATTGGTTTATAAATTTCTGTTGGTTCATGGAAACGATTTTTTATACAGTAAGTAGAGATAGAAACTGCTAAGGGTTGGTGGGTTGGACAAAAGGGTTATGTTTGTGGCAAAATTGGGTAAAACGATTTATTTTTTACGAGTCAATAAGTCTGGAGACATTTTGTCGGGATACATTTTGTCGGAAACCAATGTGTCGTGAGCCAATTTATCGGGAGACCGTTTGTCGGATGCGTATTTGTTGGGAGAGCATTGATTGGAAACCAACATCTCATAAATCTCTTTATCGGGATTCAATATGTCGTAAACCCGTTGTCGGGGTACCATATTTCGGGAGCCCATTTGTCGTGAGTCTATATATCGCTGGTCAGTGTGACGGGAGCTAATATTACTTGAGCCAGTATGTCAGGGCCCTTTTTTAGGGGGGGGGGGAGGGCTAAATTAGACTGGGTCGTTTTGTTGGGGGGGGGGGAGGTCCGGTTTGTAGTTGTCTTCTTGACGGGGTCGTTTTATCGGGGCCGTTTTCGCAAGGGCCGTTTTGACGGTGCATTGTTAAAATATAACAAGTATCTCAAATACAAATAAAACCCAAAATAACATAGGTCTGGATGACGCGCAAAAAATATGTTTGCCACCAGAGCTCACCAGTTTGATCAATGGGTTAGAAAAGTACAGCGACTGCTCCTCACTTGATCCGTACACGTAGCAGCCGAAGTTCACAAAACCGCTTCCATCCAAATAGTGATTTCCATCCGGTATTTCAACTAGTCCTAAAAGAAACACCTGTTCGCATTCTGCATATTCCCATTTTGGTATTTTCCTAAATAAAATATGTATGTTTTCGATTATCTTGTATATATAGACTCACATTTATATTCAATATTAAACAAATAAATTCGGTGTTTTTTATCAGTTATCAATGACGTCATTTGTATTGTGCATTTTTTCGACATTTGACTATCAATCCCATGTTTTGAATTCAACAATTATTGACTTAGTTCTTCTTGAGTACTTTTTTTTCGGAGTTCAAGCTCAATGAGTTTTGTTTCGTTTGACGGTTAGATATTATTTATATTCGTTTCATGTGCCAACTGTTCGCCTGAGACAGTTTTTATTTTCCCATTTGTTTTCTCTAAAAAAAATATACACCAAAACTTTTTAGCTACTAGCTTTTAAATGCACTAAAAAACCCACATATATTTCAATAAAAGCTTTGATAGTGCATTATTCTATTATTTTTAATAACAAAAGCTTTGATTTAAATATGTGGTTTTTTTTGTTTTTTTTTTAAATTTCAGTGGGTTTAAAAGCTTGTTGCTATAAACGTTTTTTTATATTCGTTTTATTTTCTACTTTTTAGTGATTCCTAATTGAAGAAGTGTACACGACTAAAAATATTTGCTTTAAAACACCATCGGTAGCTTGCGATATCGAAGAGATGATTATCTGCCCCGTGAAAAACAGCTGTCCGCAGAGGCGTAACGAGGGGGGTGGACATATGTCCCCGGGCGCCGACCTTAGGGTGTTGGAAAAACAAATTGAACGTTTGAGGGGTGGGGTGCAAATCAAAAGTTCGAGGGGGGGGGGTTGCAAATCGAAAGTTTGAGGGGGAGGGGGTGCAAATTAAAAGTTCGATGGGGGATGCAAATCGAAAGTTTGTCCACGGGCGCCGTGAAGGGTCGCTACGCCTCTGGCCGTCCGTGACCACAAATTCACAGACAACAACAAGCTGGTAGAGCGAAGGATACTTCTTAATCCCCTTAGTTTCAAATCGTTTAAAAAGTGTTTTATCTATCCCTAATAACTATCACTAGGTCGACCGGCTCTACGATTGTAAACATTCGGCGTGAACCACAGCTCACCAGACTGGTCTGGTGATAACGTCTAGATATTTACCCCCCTTTCTATTTTTGAATATAGTAATCTATTGAGTGAGCTCTAGCATTTAATCCTATTATGTCCCCTTAGTTTAGAAACCATTTAATTAATTTTTAATGACTAATTGAACATCTAAATAATTTTAAAAATAGGTATTCATGCACTGTCGTTGATGACGAAGGTATGTGGAAAATTTGAAATCAAAGTTGAGGTACACTATTTGCCTTAAACCCACATACGTTGCAAACTAAATAAAAGCTTATAAATATGGTTTCAGTTACTATCTTTTATGTAATAACGCACAACAAATAGAATATAAATATTTATGCATTATTATTTAAACAAATAAAAAGAAAAGCATAGGTCGCTAAATTATTCATTTAATACTTTTATTAGAATCCGCGAAGTGAAGCTCACCAATCTTACTTTAACGGTTCTCAAAATGCCGATATTTTAGACACTCAAAATAGCAATTACCCAAAAAATTGAAAGTAATCCATGTGTCAGATCTTATACTTAAATATGTACGTTTGTCTACGAAACTGACCCAGTACTCAAGTTATAGAGTTGGAACTTGAAAAAAACGGACCCATTTGGTTATCTTAAATCGTGGCTTAAGTTGAAAGAAAGGGTTACCGACTATTTTGAAACACCCAAGCGGAGAAACCTCCATTTCCTATTACTGGAAATCGCTCAGATGTTGATAGAAAGACTACAAATTCGACAGAATACTTATGTATGAGATTTAAATCGATATATCTAAAACGGTAATATGGTTTGCAGGGACTGACAGACTTAAAGACGTAAAGACGAAGTGTTTTTCAACTCATCGAGGGGAAAACGTCGAAATGTGTCCAAATTTCGATGTCCATTAACAATAATTCCTTGGACAAATCAACGCCCAACTGAAGTAGAGATCCTCAGGAGATATTGGAAATGTATTGGCCACAGAGGCGTAGCGACCCTTCCCGGCGCCCGGGGACAAACTTTCGATTTGCACCCCCCCTCGAACTTTTTATTTGCATCCCCCCGTCAAACTTTCAATTTGGCGCCCCCCCCTTAGGTCGGCGCCCGGGGACATATGTCCCCCCCCCTCGCTACGCCTCTGATTGGCCACACACTAAGGAAGCCTGTTTCCAGCATAACAAGACAGGCCCACACCTGGAATCCACAGGACAAAGGGTAAGAGGCCGATACAGAAAGAACTGGAGACGTGACCTGGAAGAAGACACACAGAATATCTCATACACTAGGGACAGTTGGAGAGACTAGCCCAGGAGAGAGATGCCAGGAAAGCTCTCGTCAGCGGTCTTTGTCCCAGGAGGGGCGACAGACAAATCTTACCAAACTCGATAAATCATTATTTCTTTTTTTTTTTTGGACGCTCATGAAATTTCTCACAGTTTACCTGGCAGCTTGTTGTCCGTTTATATTTATATGCAGCCTCTGTTGGTGTCTGACTGTAAGTATGACAAAATGGCGTAAACCCTCGGACGTAGGTGTACTGTAACAAATACAAGAATAAAACAATATCATTGAAATTAAAACTTAGTCCTATAACAAATACAAGAGTAAAACATCATTGAAATTAGCAATTAGGCATCTAACAAATAGAAAGAGTAAAAAATAATTGAAATTAATATTTAGGCCTATAACAAATACAAAGAGTAAAACATCATTGAAATTAACACTAAAGCCTATAACAAATACAAGAGTAAAACATCATTGAAATTAACACTTAGGCCTATAACAAATACAATAGTTAAACATCATTGAAATTAACACTAAGGCCTATAACAAATACAAGAGTAAAACATCACTTAGGTCTATAACAAATACAAGAGTAAAACATCATTGAAATTAGCACTTAGGTCTATAACAAATACAAGAGTAAAACATCATTGAAATTAGCACTTAGGCCTATAACAAATACAAGAGTAAAATACCATTGAAATTAGCATTTAGGCATATAACAAATACAAAAGTAAAGCATCATTAAAATTAACACTAAGGCCTTTAACAAATACAAGAATAAAACATCATTGAATATTATTCAGTCGTATAGGAAAGGCAACTTACTCTATAGAGTAAGAAGTGGAAAAGAGTTCGACAGGTGTTAGCAAACAATACGAGTTGCCCGCTCCCGGCTTAGTGACGACCATGTACAGCTTAAGCAGATCTTGCGACATGACAATACAAGGCCCTTTACAAGCATGTACATTTATCTGATTGAATATGAATAAAAAATGTTTATCGTTTACAGTTCAGAATAAATCACTAAATGAAGCACAGTTCAAACCTGCTATAAAATGTAATGTCTTTTGCAAAATTTCGTGTATTAAATATTAATTTATTGAATATTTATTTCCCTCCCCCCCCCACTGTCAATTACCCCCCCTGACATCCCCCCCGGAGTAATTAACCCCCTGTCAATTACCCCCTCCGACCAGTTGGATATTCCCTCCCCCCTCTCGGAAACAGCTTAAGGCACAGCCTGGGTTAGGCTTAAGGCTAGGGTTAGGGTAAGCGCTATATTTAGGGTTAGGATTAGGGTTAGTTTTATGGTCAGGGTTAGGGTCAGGGCTAGGATTAGGGTTAATGTTGTGGTCAAGGTTAGGCTTAAACCAATGTCTAGAGTTTGTTTTGGTTTTGTGTTCAGTTTTAGGCTGAGGTGAATGCTTAGGTTTTGGTCTTTTCCTTAAAGTTATGATTAAGGTAGCATATAGGTATAGAATTTGAGTTAGAGTTAGGATTCTCACATAAATAGGGATTTTAATTGGGTAATTGACAGGTGGGTTAATGACAAGGGGTAATTGCTCCGGTGGGTAAATGGGAGGGGGGATATCCGTGAGGTAATTGACTGGGGGGGGGGAATGTCATGTAGCCCTTTTTATTACCCCTACCTTAAATACATGCTTTTTTATATATAGTATTCTTAATCGACTATCAACATTACCATTCGTGCTTTCCTTAAAATAAAATTGAACGTTTCTAGATGCATAGAGTTTTTTGCATGTACAGTGGCGGTCGAATCAGAATGTGCAGATAAAAAAATGTCTACCAAGAGATTTCCCATCATTGTGTGGGGGGTGATGTAGAGTTGAGTTGTCACGTCCGTATTAAACAGCATAACTTGAGAAAAAGCAAAGCAAAACAAAGCTGTACAAGCAGTGGCGTAGGCAGGGGGGGTTAGGGGGTGGGTCATAACCCCCAATAGACCCCTCGGTATATATATAAAGTATGAGGGGGGGGGGGGTGCAAATCGAAAGTTTGATTGGGGGGGCAAATTAAAAGTCTGAAGGGGGGGAGCAAATCGAAAGTTTGTCTCCGGGTAAAAATTGGAACCCCCCCCCCCTTGAGACGATCCTACGCCACTGTGTACAAGTATGTAATAGGGATTGGAATTAATATTAAAGTAAGCAAGCATTTAACAAATGAAAAAAAAATATCATGTTTTACCCAATCTACAAAAAGTTTAATATCAGTCATCATATTTTTTTCTGCATCATTAGAACGAGTGGTTTCTCATGTATGTGATAATCGTATTTTTCCGTGACCAAAGTTTTATTATAAAATAAGGAACAAAGGCTGAAAATGTGGTAGGATTCCTTTTAATAGCTTTCAATAGGCTTTACAAATTACATCAGAACTGTATTTTCATGACCTACGTTTCGTTACTTTTTGCTGTTTTTTTCTCATTTTGCAGCAGTGTTTTAGCAATAAAAGCCTACTACTTTTTAAAATTTAAATAAAAAAAACGATTCCCAGAGTTTGTTCTTCATTTAATAATAAAACTTTAGCCACGAATGATATGTGATCTTTTATAGAAAAAATTGAATGATAAAAAATATAAACATTTTAAAACTTTCACATACTACAAAGATTGTAATATTTCGGACATTGTATGCTTCTGACCAGTAGATCTATCAAAAATTGTTAAAAATAAAAGTTTTAATTTATACAGAAAAATAAGCAGTGTAATTTGGTTGCTATAAGTGGATAAATTTTTAAACAGCGTTTTTAAAGTACTGAGATTTCGGGTTTCCATGACAACCGAAATTGTTTTCGAACCCCTTTTTTCCTGTTCAATGCTTACTTTCTTGTGACAAACATGGTACAAGTGGTGAACATGCTCCAGATGATTAAGTATAAAAAAACAGTTTAAAACACAGCGCGTATCCCCATACATGAATACAATTTTCCCGTTACCTTTACCATAAACTAACACCAGCATCTCTCCTTTAACGTAAACCAATGCACACAACTACAGCTAATGTTAATCACCACACAGTTTCTCTCTAATACATAACACCAAACAGCTCCCCTCTAACATAAACTACCACACACCTCTAACATAAACCAAAACACACCTCTAACATAAACCACCACACACCTCTAACATAAACCACCATACACCTCTAACATAAACCACCACACACCTCTAACATAAACCAAAACACACCTCTAACATAAACCAAAACACACCTCTAACATAAACCACCACACACCTCTAACATAAACCACCATACACCTCTAACATAAACCACCACACACCTCTAACATAAACCACCATACACCTCTAACATAAACCACCACACACCTCTAACATAAACCACCATACACCTCTAACATAAACCACCACACACCTCTAACATAAACCAAAACACACCTCTAACATAAACCAAAACACACCTCTAACATAAACCACCACACACCTCTAACATAAACCACCATACACCTCTAACATAAACCACCACACACCTCTAACATAAACCACCATACACCTCTAACATAAACCACCACACACCTCTAACATAAACCACCACACACTTCTAACATAAACCACCACACACCTTCTCTATAATAAAAACCACCATACACCTCTAACATAAACCACCACACACCTTCTCTCTAACATAAACCACCACACACCTCTAACATAAACCACCACACACCTTCTCTCTAACATAAACCACCACACACCTCTAACATAAACCACCACACAACTTCTCTCTAACATAAACCACCACACACCTCTAACATAAACCACCACACACCTCTAACATAAACCACCACACACTTCTAACATAAACCACCACACACCTTCTCTATAATAAAAACCACCATACACCTCTAACATAAACCACCACACACCTTCTCTCTAGCATAAACCACCATACAACTCCCAGCTAACATATACCACCACAATTTCCTCTCTGACATAAACCACCACACACCTTCTCTTTAAAAAAACCACCACACACCATCTCTCTAAAAAAAACCACCACACACCTTCTCTCTAAAAAACCACCATACACCACCACACACCACCACACCTCTACTCTTAACAAAAAAAAACACACCACCTCTCTAAGTTAAGGATCACATAATTTATCAAAGCTCATGTAGAAGTAATTTGAAGAAATTATATACTGTAAAGACTGTCGTACCTGTATGGAACAATACACTTACAATATAATAACAATACAATAACAAAACAATGAAAATACAAAACATCACACTTACAATACACTAACAATACGATGACAATACATTAACAATACACCAACAATACACTAAAAATACACTAACGATACAATAACAATAATTATAAAATAGCAATACTATAACAATACAAGAATATAATAACAATACAATTACTATAACAATACAATAACGATAAAAATACAATAACACTACAATAACTATACAATAACTATACAAGAACAATAGCAATAGCAATAGCAATAGCAATAGCAATAGCAATAGCAATAACAATAACAATGACAATGACGATGACGATGACGATGACGATGACGATGACGATGACGATGACGATGACGATGACGATGACAATGACAATGACAATGACAATGACAATGACAATAACAATAACAATAACAATAACAATAACAATAACAATAACAATAACAATAACAATAACAATAACAATAACAATAACAACAACAACAACAACAATAGCAATAACAATAACAATAACAATAACAATACAATAACAATAACAATAACAATAACAATAACAATAACAATAACAATAACAACAACAACAACAACAACAATAACAATAACAATAACAATAACAATAACAATACAATAACAATACAATAACAAGCCTTACTTGCATTAAACAAATTGGGAAAGTTCTCTGAACTACATGATCCAACTATCGCACCGATTTCAACATCTGCCCTAATTTCTGCGCCTGCACACAGATATTAAATATTGTACCTCATAACCATCAATATATATATATATATATATATATATATATATATATATATATATATATATATATATATATATATATATAAATAAATGTTATTTTCATGTGTGGGTTTATGTGCGTTAAGATGTTAATATGTATACTCAATGTGTTTAAAGAAACTAATACATCATTGTTCCGGTTTTTTATTTGGTTCTCTAAAACCTTTTTGGCATATAGTATATAACAACGAAAGTTGAGGTGGTACTTTAAGGGGATATGCGCATTTTTCATAATGTTTTTTTTTTGCACTTGTGGATTCTTTGTTCTTTTCTTTATAGATCAAATAAGAACTTAAATGTTGAAAAAATTCTAAAGTTTCTCTTAGTTTGCAGTTTTTTGGTACTACAAGCCTACAATTGTTGTTTTTTTTTTAAATTTATAATCTGACTCCCACTAAATTCTTAGAACATATTTCTAACGAAGCAGTACAATTTTAGTCTCGTGGGAAATTTGATGTATTTCAAAGAAAATAAAGTTTATTGTAAAAAATTATGCACATTTTTCACATTTTCGATACTATGAATAGTGTAATTTTTAGGACCTTGTAGAATTTCAATTAGTAGCCCTATTAAAAGGTAGTCGTGGCAGAAAGTTTTAATATATACTGAACTATAAGCAGTGTAAATTTAATTGCGATAAGTACATAAATAAAAAAGCATAATGTTTTTAAAAGTGCCGAAAAATTCAAAATGGCGGATGTTTTTCTGGTTTCTATGACAACCGAAATTGTTTTACACTCTCTTTTGCTGTTTGGTAATTACTTTTATGTGCCAAACATGGCAAACGTATTTAAAATGCTTTAAATGTTAAATTATTTTTAAAATATAATAAATACAATGAGCGTATCCCCTTTAATGAAACTGGCAATTAACACATTTTAAAATGTCTTAGAAAACGATATCAATTATTAAATACTGAGGTTTTTTGAAGAACGGAAAATAGAGCTTACTGAAAAGCGTTATTAAAAAAAACCTACGTATACCATCTAATTCGAAGTAAAATTTTTGTCCATCTAACTAAAACGCAATTAAGATATGGTTTCAACAATAGAAATAAAAAGTTTCGAATATGATTTAACACGTCTATATTGGAATTTAAAATAGAATAAAATCTCTTAGAAAAAATAATTACGCACTAAGTGAATATAAAACAATGTGTATAATACAGCGAAATATTAGTCATTTATTAATTCATATGCGTTTTTTTAAAAATCACAAATATTGTAAAGTACTACTTCCAGTAAACGGAAATTACACTTATCGATCCGAAACTGTACTTAAGTTTATAGGATTTTGAAAAAAAAGAAGAATAAGTTTCACTACCCGTTATCGGAAATAGCTAAACAATCGATACCGAAATGCAAATTTGATACAATACTTATTTTAAAAATTTCATCAACCTAGCTGTAACGGTATTCACGTTATCGTGTTTACAGACACACATCCACAGACACACAAGCATCTCTTCAGGGCGGTGGGTGGCAGAGCTACCCCTACAAGAAATGGAATTTATATACTTTTACCAGTGTCTGCCACCCCCACGCCCTTCCGAAAATATTGTCCACCCCCCCCTCCCCCGAAAATATAAGAAGTGCCCCTCGGAGAAAAAAGTCTGGAAGGAACACTGACATACACACACACACACAAACATACGAACACAATTGCAAAACTATGTTTTTCCGTCTCAGTGAGGTGTAAAACGCCGAGATCTGTGAAAATATCGAGTATGATTTGTGTGCGCGATTATAATACTTACTCTAAACTTCGTACACGAGAAAGTAATAAAAAGGT